TTGGTCCTGAAATTTCAGAGATAACATTCGATCACGTTACTTGAGCACTTAAATAAAATTAGATAACGTGTATAACCTCAAGGCCCTGATTGACCCATCTCCCTAGCTATTTCATTTTTATAAATTTATATATTGTATATGCCTTATCTACTTGTCGCAACAAATTAACATTCGTTCGTTCTTATACGGCTAAGGTGTTTACACTCACAAATACCAGTTTTCTTGCAGAGTGTTTGAGAAAGGAACAACCTTCTTGGCTAACTTAAGGAATGGTACATCTAGTCGTGAAGGATGAGAACTGGAGTTATGACAACGGCCAGTAATATGCCTTCCAGTGACTTGCATGGTCCTTATGTCTATACTGATCAGTGCGGCTTACAAGCATCTGAAGCGAAACGTAATATTTTTTGAACGAAAAGGCAGGCGGACAAAACCAGTGAAAACCATGGCTGAGTTACTCGTAAACAAGGCGGTACTTCAGTGTTGCAAAGCGAAAAAGACCAATATAGCTCAGCGTGCATCGACTTTAGAAGGTATTTGGTCTACCTTCACATAAGTGAATCTTGGGATCACTGAAACTTGGTTACTTCAACGACAGTTTAATAACCTTCCAGCAGTTAAACAGTGGTGAACAGCACTGCAGTGCAACAAAATCTCGCTGGGTAAGTCAAGTTCAAGTGACGTGTCTTCCTCGAAAACTCGATTTCGCTACTTCTGTTTTGTCTGACATTGAATCCGCTTAATTACATAATGAATAACACTAGAAGAAAGTAAAAGTTGAAAGATGAAAGTGTAGTGTCGCACTGATATAGTAACAGGAAGAATCGAGAGCTTATGAAAGTATCTTCGCCAGTTTGATGGAAACTTAGACATCAATCAGAATTTCAACTGGCTCTAAAGAAGTGAACTCGATGGCACAACGGGTTGTCCATGATCAAACATTGAAGGCGAACTCATACAAATTGAAAATCCTGCACATGTAGCCAAAAGAAAAGGGCACAATATGCCAAGTGAGAGAGAAACTATAATCCATGGTTTCTAGCTGCGAAACGCAGAATATAATAAAGGTACATCAACGTTGTATGGATTATCCACTGTCATTTGTGCAAGTGTGTCGAATTACTAGTGGCGAAGCAGTCACGGCCTATTAAAGTCAACAGATGAAGCGATCAGCGCATATGGTCTACAGAGATGACCCTGCTAGAAACAGCCAGGATTATACGAATAGTACCTCAGCCCCTAACCTTTGGTAGATAATTAAGCTGAAGTGATGTTCGTACCACTCATATTATATTTCACAGAGCATGACTGATATTTAAAAAAACAATTTAACGTAATTCTTAATAGTTTTTATCACAGAAATTGAAGCTTTTGGAAACCGCGCTTGCGTTGTTCGAAATCGGCGTTATAACAAGCTACGCCACTTGGTAGAAGAAGGTCAGTACTTCAGCGATTACGAGATGCGTAAAAGGGATCCATTGCTGTACGAAAGTTTGATTGGTCGATTCCAGAGTGAACAAGAAGTCAGGGCTGTGTTTCATAGCAACGAACACCAGTCAAGCACGTTGAGTGATATGATCCTCAAGTTTTACGACACTAAAAATGTAAGAAGTTTGCATTTCATATCGTAATTCTTAAGTATTTTGACAGCAAGCACTCTCGACTTTTCACTGCTTGTTTCGTCATTTTGTCGTTTTTACGTCCTGGTTTTGGTAATTTTGGAAACGTATGATTCAGAGTTCACTGAAGTAAATTTGACTCACTGATTAGAACGAAATCTGCAGATCGAGCAAATGAGAACTACTTACTCTCGTCTACAGATTAATAAATGACGCACTCTTCCGGCTGCAGTTCTCATTGTTGAGAGCAGTTAGCGATTTGAATAGAAATTGAGAGGATAAACTTGAAGTAGTTCGTGTTGTCAGAGAGAAGGTCCCAAGTCGGCCCTTAAGAGTAGTCAGGAAGAATTATTCCGAGCACGTCTGATACACAAGGAAAGTTTTACTGCATCCTCAGTGCTCCTCATTATATAATGCCTAAAGATAAAGCATAAATGCCGCACTCCCTACTATTACAAAACAAACATGAATTGCTGATGCGAGGCTGCTGACTAGATTTCCTATCATTCATTTTTTAATTTATCTAAAGCGAATATGCTAGGAAAAACACGACGATGAGGTAAGCCAGAGCCTGGGTAGAGGTAGACATTTAAATTTGACAGTTTTGCAGGAACTTCAAACTCGAAACCGCAAAAATATGGCACAGCATCATTTGAAATCATTGAATGTAATGAAAGTCATCTAAATTCAAAATTTTGACAAGAACTTTTCTCGCTAATGTACCATGAAGGCTTAAATGTGATATTTTATACTGACGAATACCTAAGTTTGTAGGTTCCAGCTAGCAATCATGAGACTGCGCACTGACACCGACCCCCGATCGGCGTCAGATCTGTTTAAACCATCCTTTCGTACCCTTATCTTATCTCTTTCCCCCTCTTGTGTTCATTTCCATCTCCTCCAGTTTCTTTTTTCTGTTTCTTTCTCCCTTTATTTCCTTCTTAGTTTCCTCCCGTCTTTTCGTTCTTTTTTATTACGCAAAGGGCGTTCAGTTTTTCGCCATTGGTTGCATACCATGTTTGTTGCTGCTTCTTCGTCTACGTAATTCTTTCAGCAGCAGGTTCAGACGAGTTAAGCCGTATTTTGAACAGTGTATTACCTTTCGGTAGGCGTTTCAAGTGCTGAACGTTCATTTCATAGCGATGTTTCTTCTTACGCCTAGTTTCATTTTGCATTGCTGTCAATTGATATATTCATGTTGTTCACCAACAGTAGAAAGTCTTACAAGCGCTGACTGTTGATGATAACATTCATGTTGTCATTATCATGGCATGATGCAAAGAATTGTTTATCAGTTCTGATTGAAACGAGCGTGATGCCTTTGCGCAGATTGTGAGATTCATTTACTCGTAGCAGCTCCTTCACTACCAAAACATTGCTTCCGCTGCAGTTGGAGAGGAAAAAAATATCTGTCTGCTGAATTCATGCAGTACCAGGAGTAAACAAGATGAGCATTAGTTTAGTTTCCTCGCAAAATGTTCTGTGTATTCTGAGTAGGTTTAGCCAGAGCAGATCCAGCACTCCTACGCTCTCAGTCTGAAGATTCATTTTCTGATGACAGATTTCGTTTTGCTTAGCATGTTTTTAAAAGCAGTGATATATCGTGACCATCTTACCAACCCTAAGTGTATCACAATACTGTAAGGTTCAACTAAACTTTTATGGTCGAACACTAGACGCAGCGTGGTAAAGACAGGTTAAAATAATTTATTAGAATCTGTTACTGTAGCTACGCCAGGAAGCTGTTGCAATTAGTAATTTTGTCAGATTTAAATCTCTTTGACTCAATTGTACTTGACAGGTCAAAGGAGGTTTCTATTTTAATTGCGATATAAAAGTATTTTACTTCAGTTTAATTTATTCTGTACTTGTGGCTGATTCGTGTAATTCTGAGAAATACAGGGTATATGTTGCTTATACCTTTTGTATCTACAATAGGTATATCTTATCTTTATTTAGTTGTCCGACGTGAGGCGACATCAAGCTGCTATCGAAAACCCCATCCCGAATTGCAGCGACTCAGAAAGTGATTCGGGAGGTACGAATTCGATGTTATTTTCAAAACTGCACATACCGTATCTGTAACCGACACGGCTTTGGATTAGTCAAGGTTATAAAATCAGTGAAAAAGCCCACTAGCTTAAGAAACGGTGGCTGCTATCAGTATAAAATGTGTCACGCAACTCGCATCTATTCATAGAACACAGAATGGAAAAACTTAAGATATATTTTCTGCACCTTCCAACACGTTTGTGCAGCCGTGCCGTTGATTTCCATCAGGGACCTTCTAGCGTTAATTTCTCTCCGATCAGTGTAGTCGATATGTATGTGGGAGTACTCTGCTCCAGACTCAGGCTCTATTCTGCCAAAGGTGGAACGCTGCTGATATAGAATCGAAAACGTTGACGGCAGTGTCTAACGTATCTGCCTTTTCGTTTGGAAAGGATAAGCAGTGATGGAAACTGATTGACTGTATTTTGTTGATGCTTGTATAATACGCTACGGATTTTCAGTAATTTCGACAACTGTTGGCGTGTCCAACGGTGTAGATAAGCAAACCCGGAAAGTAGATGCTAGTTGTAGCAGATAAATTCAGATGAGGTGAAGATTTTTTGGAATGCGTAGTTAGCCTTTCATGTTTCTGAAAGGTTCTAGCGATTCGAACAGAATGGGGCTGGTTCGCAAGTTCCGGTTGGATCATCACTCGGGACCAGAGTTTAAGTCGACATTGACGTTTGTTATTCGTCCCGTACTGTGGACACTTATTCATAATGCTGTTTGTTTAATTTTACTCAGCTAACGTAATTTTTGAACTTTAAAATTTTACTTAATTTCAGAAGATGGGTTGAACTCTCAAGATGCCAGAGAAATTCGTCGCGGTGAATTCATTCGTGTCATGCATGAACGTTTCTTAAACGGCGAAGATGTAGACTTTGATTATGGGTATTCATTTTCTCTGTCAATTTTTATGTCCCTGCTCTACCACTGATCCTCTCTGCTTGATTGCATGGCAAGGCTGCCAACGAAGCTTGTCCACAATACCATCACAGCGTATGTAAATATTCTCAGTTGAGTTGTATCGTTTTTCTGATGGTGACCAAAAACAGCCACTAGGGGACAGAGAGACGAAGCACGTTATATCATCAAATCCCCTCCAAAAAAATGTTGTACTACTGATGATATTGTTACTATACTTTATCGTGAACAAGGACTCTGTCTACTCCTGCTAAAACACGGGAT